CTCTAGAGCAGTATTTCTCAACCTCAGCAACATTAAGATGTGTGGACTTCAACTCCCAGAATTCCCCAGTTAATTAATTCCTGGGGAATTAAGCTAAGAGAGAATGATAGGATCCAAAGTCACCCCCAGTGAGATTTCACTGATGTAAATGAACTTGAAATTGTATCTCTCCAGGACAAGTCTAGCATCTTAACCATTACTATCCAAGATCTTAACCTCTTGTAGTACAATTAAGCAGGGATTTGAATTCAGCCTGTCCTCTGCCTGTCACACCCTTGAAACTCATTAGGAAATTATTTATACCACAGAAGAATGGCTAGTGTTCTAGTTTTTGCCTAACAACATTCCAGTAAACAAACCAAGCATAGATCCATTATCTCGGTTCATGTGCTTTTCTGAAGGTGGGGGTATACTAACAGACAAAGTGTTCTTGACTGTCTGCCTTTGGATCTGTTTCCTGTTACATAGCAACCAAGAAAATACCACAAACCTGTCCACCTTTTGTATTTCAGCAGATACACACGTTTTTAATTATATGAAATAGTGCCTTAAAAAGCATACTCTTTCTCCAGATGTTGAACTATAATTCCTAGCATACCTGTTGGGGATGATAGGACTTGTACAACATCAGCAGAATATTAACCCATGTTAACCACTTAATTCTTATGTACATTTCAGAGATCAATGGATCATTGCTTTAAAAAAGTAGGTTGAGAACAGGTGGCTTACTAAAGTTAATTCTCTCCCATCTTAGCTAATTACAATGTATTTTTCACCACCCAGAAGTGAATGCAATTTTTGAAAAAATTAAGTTTCATTTTCTAATGACACAGGGAAAATTCCAACTTAATTTTTCCTATAAATGACTAACTTCTTCCAAATCACTATTCCCCCCCATAATAATTTCATAATCAATTTCCCACCCATCCTCAGGGGTTATTTTTGCATATGGCCTACCTTCCAGCTGTCAGCAGGGTGGTGATGATGACCTGGTAGTTTTGCAGTTTTGCCTTGCTTGGAAATGTAGGGCAATTCTTTGCCTTGTCCCAATTACAGACAGGCTAGAAACAAAAGTAGGCATTAAATACCACCGAAGGCTGGAGATCTATTCCTTATAATTTCTCAACCCACAATTTTAGATAGTAGACATATGAGAATGCTACCAGCTATTACTCTGACAGATCTGAATAAAGATCTTAGCTGGAACAGAATGCTTAGCTTGGAGAGAGAGAACCAAAACACACCTTGATCTCCTCAGGGACTGTACGGTAATCCCTGCTGCTAGCATTCATCCTGTAGATGCTCCTATTATCCAAATGTTTCATGAGGAGCTGGCAGAGCAGGTCTGAGGCACTGTTGGAAGGAGCACAGGCAAGCACATGGGCACCCTTAATGCAGTGCAGCACCTGAGTAGGACAAGAGCACAAATAGCAGCATTTTAATTGACCAAGAAAACCACATTTCAAGCCTTGTAGGAAGCTATCTAGAGATGGTACAAAACAGAACTGGGTCTCCACAAGATTCTTGGTTTAGGAATGTATTCATTAAGTTTGTAAGCAAGACTTCTTTGCTCCTCCCTAATCTATTGCATATATTGTCATTATAATTAGATCTGTGACAAAAGTGCATTCACCTGCTTGATGGCCTCCACCATAGTGACCGTCTTGCCAGTACCTGGAGGCCCAAATATAAGATATGGGGCTGGTCTGGAAATCCCTGATACCACCTGATAGACAGCTCTCTTCTGCTCCTCATTCTTCTCCAAGCTGGAATCATATAGGCTGGAGGGTAAAGAAAGAGAAACGAAAGAAGATGTAACAAAGCCCAGGCCAAAGAGCAAAACTACTCCTGATTCATCCTATTTACAGATAATTCTCTGTAAACTACAGTAGTTGGGACCGGAATTTCCATCACTAAGTGATGTGGTTGTAAAGTGTGACATCACATGACTGCATCGCCTAACAATGCCACTCCCCATTGCTGTTGTTAAGCAAGAATCATGGCTCATTAAGCGAGGACCTCCTCGTGACTTCCTGCTGGCTTCCAACAAGCAAAGTCAATGGGGAAGTTGGCAGGAAGTTATGAGTCCTAGGTGGCTTGCAAGCAGGCTAGTGGGCAGGTAAGTAAGTGGCTGCTGTGGTGCAGTGCAAGCCAGCAGGGTCAGGAGGTCGGAGGGCACACAAGCTGTCCTGCGTTCCACTGCCCCCAGCTAACCTTTGCCATCTTCTTCCTCCCACTGCTGACGAGGCACACCAGGTCTGGCCCTTCATGAGGTAGCTGCTGGCCGCACAAGGCCTCTTTCCTGAGGCTGCGCCCAATCTTCTTGCAAGGCTTCAGAAGGCCTCATGCGACTTTGAGAAGATCGGTGCAGCCTTAGGAAGAAGGTCGCACATAGCCAGCAGCTGCCTCACAAAGGGCCAGGCTGGGCACACCTCGTCAG